AAAACAAATCTAGGACGATACTCGTATTTCTTGAGCCTAAGTTAACTCTCTTTCCTCTGACAGGGACTTTGAAAAGACGACGAGCGCAGCAGCATGCTAGCTCTCAGGTGCAGCACCAGTCCCAGCACCCGCACGGCCACAGCGGACACGGGGGCCACGGCGGCCAGCGGCAGGCACAGAGGCAGCCTCAGCGCCAGGCACAGCCCCAGAGGCACCACCGTCAGCCCAGAGAGAACTATCAGATGGGCCAGATGAGACGCTGAGACCCTGCACCCAGCTCCCCCTGCTCCCCCCCCAATGCCTTGGCTCCTCCTTGTGCCTACAGAGGGAAACAAAAGCGTCACTCCATCCAAAGAAACGCCTGACATGGTTGTTAGTCATCATCATATCCTCCAACTACAGACAAAACAGGACACGCGAAAAAGAGAAAACGCTATTCAGCAACTCGATTGGCTCTTTGTGGAGGGGACTTGACCATCAGCCATTTCCACTGCAGTGCGATCTAGCAAATTTTTTTTCCCCATCGTCTTTTCTTTTTTTTTTCTTTAAGGAGTGCCAAGGAGTTAAGGAATCATTTGTAGCTTTAGTTCATTCTGTGGTTTGTTTTGTTTTTCTTTTTTCTTCATCTGCAGCATCTTCTTGAGTGACAGGCTCGTAGCTGCTGGTGAACTCTCTTTTTTTTCTTTTTTTTTTCGTTCTTTTGTTTTTGTCATCTTAGCCAGGAATGAGAGACACTCAGTGGGGATTTGCGGCACTTTTGTGATTTCACACATGTCAAACGGCAAAAGACACAGGCTCCGGTCTCTCGTGCAGACGGTCTTCTGCATGTGATTGTAAATATTTAGTGTATCATAAGTGAAAACAAACTATTTCTTCTACTGTAAATGTGTAATTCTTCATTTTTTTTTTTTGTTTTCTTTAATTTTTCGGTTAGTGCTCTCAGGATTCTTAACACATAAATGAAAGAATGACAGTTGTGGTGAGTTCCTTGGATGCTGCCGTTGAGGATTTGACGCCATCGAGTTCTCTCAGCAGTCCAATCAGGTGGATCTCTCTCACTTTCATGAACTCGCTAGGTTTTGATTTGCTTTTCTTTGAACAACAAGGTCGCCATATCCCACGTTTTAGGCCTTCTCTGTTCAAGGTCCCTTTATTTCACCATTTTTTTTTTTTTAATTGTCTCGCTAACATCATGTCTTGCCCCTGTTGTACAACAAACTGGACGAGGTCAGAAACAGAAGGAGAAATCGCCTAGTTTGGTGCAACCGTTTACTGTCTGTTTCTTTGTTTCTTTGTTTGTTTTTAATAATAATGAAGAACGAATAACCACTAACTGAAGCTGATGTTGATCCTGCCTGTTCAGATATGAAGTCGAGGTGAAGAGTGAAGGCTGCTGTGGCGTAGTGTAGAAGTGAGAGTGTATCATGTTACAGAGTTAGTTTACATGAGTTTGGAAATAAATTTTAAAAATGACTTAAAAAAAAAAGATGGAATCATTCTATTATTCTTCAGATAGCGAAACTAAGAAGTTTTTAATGTGGGCATGCAGACACATTTATTAAATGTGACTATTAATTGACCAAGGTTTGTAATGTTTGTATGTCACTCAACACGATTTACTTTGGGCCCCCGGAGCGAGCGGTGTAACGCAGCAGTGTTGTCACATTTATTCACCAACACGTCCCTCAGCGGGGTCACTGCTTCCACGGGAAATGAGCTTCTGTTCCAATCTCTCATCTCAAGGACTGAATTCCCCTTAAGAGCTCATGAGTGCAGGCCTCAGAGTTTACATGAGCGTGCCATAGAACTTTTACGGAGCAGTGCACAGGTTTTCCTAAAATCCAGGAAGCACCTGCGAGGTTTCCACTTTAAAGAGAATGAAATGAAGGCTGTGCGATTCGACCTCAGGTGTTTTCTTCCTCTCTTCGCTGCACCAAAGGGGCATCTTGGAAAACCAAGTTAATCACAACACTCACTGGAAGGATTTGATCATGTAATCATGACATAGTGTGTTAAAGTCCTGTCATTTCATTTACCAGGCAGACATTTCGCCCGACGGGATGCTCCAGCAACGACGCGTTGCAGATTTATTTTTATTTTCTTTTTGCATTAAATGCTGTGGGAGGACTTTCTGTGCTCTGACTTCATTTTTATCGTGGCATTATGGCTATACTTTAAATGCATGCGGTACTAATCATAACTAATATCTATCTGGTCATTACAGCCACACATGTGCTCTGGAGGGGACGCGACAAACATAATGACACCTCACGGTTTTCCGTTCACGCGGCAGATGAATCGAGCGGGTCGACGGGGTGTTTTTTGTTTGTTTTTTTTGTTTTCCTTTTCTCTGTACAAAAATTGAGCTCTTTTTAAATCTGATCTCCTGAGCCACGTCTCACCTGTCAGGGCCCGGAGAACTGAACCTGTAAACTTGTACAGTACTTGGGAAAAAATCGAATAAAATTTGCGTTTCATTTGAAAAATGAGAATTACATTTTTGATACATCGGTTTAATTTCTTTTTTGTATCCTAATTCCAGAGTAAGTTGTTTTAAAGATGTTCATATGTGACAAACTTTCCTCTCTTCTAAGTTATTTTCTGTTCTTATATGTGCTAGTTGAACTGGAGTTTGCTTACGATACTTTTCTCCACCGTCATCAATGCTTAAAAACAATTCAGTGTGATGGAGTCAATGTTACATTCTCATTTTTGTCTTTGTTATCCTGTGGCATGGTTTGGGTAGAAGAGCAGAAGAATAATGCCTGTAAATTTCCTTTCTTTTTAATTTCGTAGTCTTGGTAAAGTTTTTAAATAAACGTGCACTGAAAAATGTCCAAATTGAGTTGAAAATGTTGTAGGTGACGTAGGCCGAAAGAACACATGATTAAAAAGTAATACTACTGTCTGATTTTAATGTTCACTGTGTTTTATACAGTATCGGAAATTTTTGTTCACTTTGAACATTTTTACTAAAAAAAAAAAAACAACAAAAAAAAAAATTCAAATTGTATTGTGCAAAGAGATGTAATTTTTTGGAGTACTTGAAATGCATTAATTAAAAGACTCATTCAAAATAAAATAGACCCCTGTTTGCTGTCTGTAAATGTGTGCGTGCTCTGGCTCTTTCTCTCCGGGTGAGGCAGTTTGTTCTGAGGACTGTGCAGCCAGATGTTTAAAGGGCCACTCCCCCTGATTTAACACATGAACCGTCATTTGCATTGGGCTTGAAATAAATGGAAAGCTTGCAATACAGACTGGTGTCATGGTGTTTGAAAGATGCTGATTTTGTTTGTGGAAAAAGTTGCGTTTGGGGAGAATGTAAGAGATCGATGTGAAGTTATTAGATCTTGTGATTTTTTTGATTTTTTTTATTTATTTATTTTTTTACCAAACTGTTTTTCTATGTTCTAATACGAGCACTGCTGAGGAAAAGCACCATCCCACTCCAATCTGTGTGATACTCTGTTAGTGAAGCGAACATCTACACACCGCTAATAAAATAAGAAATCCTTTTACAGCAGTTAAAAGTTAAACTTGCAAAATTGTTGTCCACGTTGTTAAGTACACCTGTTCAAGTGGTCAACACAATATGCAATCAGCCAGTCACGTGCCTGCAATTCAGTGCAGGAATGTTGACAAGGTCAAGACAACCTGCCAGAGATCAAACTGGGCATCAGAATGGCTAGAAAAAGATGATTTAAGCGACTTTGAATGTGGCGTGGTTGTTTGTGCCAGACAGGCTGATATTTCAGCCCTGAGCAATGACACATAGACATCTGTAGGATTTACAGAGAATGAAAAAGAAAAAAGGGAGGATCATTTCTTTACAACCAAGGTATGCAGAAGACCATCTCTGAATGCACAACACATCGAACCTTGAAGTAGATGGGCTACAGCAGCAGAAGATCACTCCAGCTGAAAACTGAGTCAACAATTCAAACAAGATCAACAAAATTATACAGTGGAAAACTGGAAAGATGTTGCCTGGTCTGCGCAATTTCAGACAATAAAATGGGATGTAAACAGCACGAAAGTGTGGATCCTGCTTTGGATTAACAGTTCAGGCTGCTGCTGGTGTTATGCTGTGGGGGATATTTCCTTGGCATACTCTGGGCCCCTTAATAACAAATTAGCATTAGTTAAACTTAGTTAAACTTAGCACTTGTGGACTAAGCAGTAGCAAGGCTCTGCTCACCATAAAGGCTGCAGCACAAACAAAGAACCTGCACTGGATGCGCAGAATTAATGCAGTTGGGGGAGGGGGGGGCAACTGCCCACCCCTTGGTGGCGCCCCTGATGTGGTTGGGATGAGAACCTGTTGTAAAAATTACAGTACCATTGGAGTGAACATTGTTTACTGTGATAAATGCAGTAGCGTGAGGCTCACAGCAGAGGGCGCAGCTGCTTCAGAGACCATGATGGTGCTGCAGGTTTCCTAGCAGCCTGTGAGTCACCAGCATCAGCAACACAGAGATACGCACACAGCTTTATATATGTTTTGTTTCAGGAGGACACACAATCCAACACTCATTGCTGCCTGCTCTCAGATATAATTTTTTTTATTTATTTGAATACATTTGTTGGAAGGAAAAAGCAGCTGATCAAAAGCTTTTATTCTGTCTCCGCCACACGCCTGCTCGTGTCTTCCACATGTGTGTTACGCACTATATTATTTATTGCCTATACTTATTGATCACTTTGCTCCATGAGTGCATTCAATGATGTAACACCCATAAAAAAAAAAAGTAAGTCAAATCCAGGGAGCATGCATTTGCACATGCAGGGGAATGTGGCCCGCTATCGATTCTCTGCGCATTTCTTCGGCTACAGTTGCTGGTTGTAAACACGATTTTATTAAATCCAGGAACAAGGGATGAGGTTTAGTATTTTGTGTCTCATTTATATTCCAGTACGTTTACACCAGTGATTGAATATGTACTGATTTTGTGATCCATTCTCATACAATTCCCC